TTACTTAAATAGTCATTAAGAATAGACATTAACAGAGTTGAAACTAACTCTGACAATAACTTAATAAGCTTAACAAATGTTTTATGTCTCAAAATGATAGTGTTTAAGTTATAATGCATTTTACACTTGATAAAAACAAGTTGTATTAATGGATTTTTAAACTAAGATGTTTTATAAAACCTATTTTTGACACGATGATTTTTAGCTTAGTGTCGTCAGGCAACCAAGCTGAACCAGAGAGGAAGGGCCCCTCACACCAATCCCTCTCCATCCCACCCACCTGTTCTTTGGCCACATAGCCTAACAGGAAGTCATGACTTGCCTGTGATCGACTGGGCACTGTTAGACAGACTGATAAATAGAAATGTCGATAAAAGGGAAATATGCCAATATTACTTGATATACTATTTCAGTGAATGCTATATTCGWACATTTATATTCATTTTAAAGACATAACCTATCAGAAAAKTTTCAAAGAAAATATGTTGAAAAAATCCTGCTGTAACTCACCATTCACTGTTAGATTAGCAGTTCTACTCTGAATGGCCCTGGCATCAGTCTTCACAATACACTGGTATACACCTTTATCCTTTTGGGATACCTTCTTAAAAACTAAAGCATTTTGGCTGTTTATCTTATGATTGCTATCAAGTTCAACTGGTAGATTATTTTTACTCCAAGTGACTTTGTATGGCAGTGAGGTGGTAACAGAGCATCCAAGTTTAATCTTGCCTTTCTCATTGGCAACTGTGTCTCTAGGATGGCTAGTAAAATAGGGCAACTCTGTCGATGAAACAAAAAACCATGAACAATTTCAGAGATCACAGGATTTGGAAATGTTAGCTACATGTAACTATGTACAAAATGCCAGAGATGATCTGCCTATCTTTTTATGACCTGAAATTCATCATTTTATCACAACTGTATAGTTAGAAGCACCAAGTCAAATCTCTTTCACTAGTTCAACTATATTATTATTCTTTTTGCTGAACAGAAAACACRATTATTACCTGCAGCAATAACTCGAACGTTTGCTGACTTGGTTCCAACTTTATTCTTAGCTACACATGTAAAGTTTGCACTGTCTGACAGCTTCACTTTTTGATTTTTGAGTTCTTCATTGTTTGCCACATAGGATGAYGGGATAGKATCTCCTTTAACTGTCTGCCAAGTGATTGTTGGTTTTGGTCCACCGCGAGGATAACATGACACTGTAAACTCTTCACCAACTTCAGCATATTGTACCTCTGGATTGAAGCTAAAATTGTCTATATCTGAAAGATTCATGTTGATTTATTATGAATTGGTGGTGCTCRTGAKGTCTTAATTAGTTGCCCAGATTGCCAGCRTAAACTGGTGTTTATGATTCATGCTTGTACAAAACAATGCTACTTAGTACATCTAACAAAAGAATGTGCTTAGTAATCTAATGTATATTGTTGTGTACTCTGAACTCATGATAAACATTTATCCAGTATTCACTGCAGTGTATGATTATAATGCTTTTCAAAATGTCAGTTTTCCCTATGGGACTTATATACATATATCAGTGTAGAATGGATTTTGAGTCAACAGCTTTGTAGAGACATATTAATGTAATGATTCTGTGATGTCCATCATGTCTATTGCAATAAGAAGCACTGTRAACCTTAAACCCTTAAAAAAAACACTATATTTTATGCTTATCCATACTTACATGCTTCAGTTACAGACACTTCAGCAGTTACTGTTCCCAGAAAGTTACTTGCTTCGCATTTATATTTTTCAAAATCATAATTATCAACTTTGATGATTTTCAAGGATCCATCACTCCCCAGAGTGTGCTTGGAATTGCTAGACAGAATTTGTGAACCATGAAACCATTTTATTGCAGGTGTTGGCTTGCCAGTAGCTTTACAATCAATTTTAACATCTTCACCTTTTTTAGCAAAAATTTTTGAAAGTGGTTTTGGCTCAAAAGCTGGACGAACTGCATCTGGAATAACAATTACATGTATTCAACAAATAGATATAAGATATAAGTTTACYGAGCCAAAGAAAAGACATCTTGTTCTATAATTAATACATACAGTAAATGACTTACTGAGAACTTGAATRGTCTTGACTGGACTTTCTTTTGACCCAAGAATATTGCTAGCATTACACTTGTAATTTCCAGAGTCAGAAATTTTAAGCTTGGCAATAACTAGTTTGTTACCAGATATACTAACACYGCCACCATCTACAAGTTTGGAGTCATCTTTGAACCATGTTATAGTAGGACTTGGATTTGAATTGGAGCATTTACAAGTCATATCTATCTGTGCGTCAGTAGTATGTTGGGATCTATCTGGACTGGTGGCTATTGATGAAGCTGAACATATACCTGCAAAACACAAAGATTAAGAATGGATTTTTGTACTGGATATAGCAATTATATATAGCCATATACAATAAAAGACTGAATGAACTACAATGCAAACAACAGCAGACAAAGAAATAATATAAAAACCCAAGCCTATGATGATTTGTAACTGGGAGATCATCAGGAATTCTCAAAGCAGAGCTCAGCAGATACATGCAGCCAATATATTCAAGTTAGATTTATTTAATAGGAAACACATAGGTCTAGAATATGAATTGAATAGCWGGGTACCTATAGTGCTTCTAATCAGATAAAAGACAAAAAATCAAGGRAAGATTCCAGGACTTTCTAGGAACAAATAGATTTTCAAATACTAACAAAAATGCTCTTCCTCTCTTTGTTTGTAGTATTCACACTTAAGCCCTGTTATACATCCTGCAGTCTACATATAGAAACGGAGTTGTGGTATATCTAGGCGTCTGTATGCTATGCTTATATTACTGGTCTGCATGGCATTTCTGTAAATACAATTACTGTAAGGAGATATGAGAGTCATTATTGCCTAATTGTGGTTTAGCCATGACTTCAAGTCTACAGGCCAGGAATTGAGTCAGACTCGGAGCTGATCATGATTGTTGTTTCCTTTGCTGTGGAAGGAAGTCGGGATCTGAGCATCAGGAAAGGAAAACTTATTCTTTCAAATCCTCTCTTTACCTTGGTGCATGAATGGGTTCTGTACGGATATTGCTTAGTTTGATATTTAGGGACAYGAGTCCCGAGCTATTTTTTGTCAACTCTGACAATGGTACACTRTGTTTATATGACACACTATACAAATATGGTTTTAYACAGCTACAGGCTGATTTTCCTCTTTTAGTAKTKGACATGTGAGTTGTGTTGACAGGTGAAAGTCAGTGGTCAAAAAAGGTAGTCTGTATTCACAACTATGTCTGACTACTGGTCAATGATTTCAATAAATAGAGATACAGATGTCAATAATCATAGCTTTTTCTACTACCACTGATATAACTGCCTTGAGCACATGCCATTAATCATTTTTAATATTATAATTACTTCRTCTCTACAAATATTATCATTGAAAAGAATTGACTTTGTGAAATATTAATTTAAACAAAACTAAAGTGTCTTTGAAAGTTCATGAAACCGATATTGTTTTTGTATGGCAATGTATATTAGCTTATTGTCAAAACATTTTCTTGTTTTCTTGAAGTACCTGGAGTTCTTTGTGGTGAGACACATATGATGAATGACAAGCTAATTGACTTAAATACAATTCAGTCTGTTTGAAGCTTAAATAATGATAAAACTGGAAGAATTTTTTTATGCCACATGGAGAGTAGAGATTTCAATGTCATTGATATCATTATCTACATATTATGTTTAATGATGAATATYAAGTGCTTCATTTTCTATTTGCCAATTTTATTAAGCTGGATAAGTTCATTGAGACATTCTATTTTCATATGCAGAGTGGCATGCAGGAAAACCATAGCCCAGAATTAGATTCACAAGCATGTCTAACAAAGTGCAATCAGCTAAATCCTCTTGACCACAGATTCCCAAAATACCATGAACTGATAAATGATCTAAAAGATCCTTGGCTATCTACTGCGATATACTCTCTTCTCAGATTACACACTAAGTCCCTGGGTCACATACTTTATGTGTCTGTTTGTCATTATTCCAAGATCACTTCACATTTTCTTGGTAAATAAACTAACTCAAGTACAATCCAATCAACAACAAAAAGCTTCAAACAACTGGTGACATGTATAAAGGATTATTACACCTATTAAAACTGAAGTATTGGCCAAAGTGATATTTGATAAGATCAAAGCCATCATAATCACTTAGATTTCAATAAGTATAAATTTTGAAACAATCAAAAGCTGATGACTTGAAGATTTGGTCATTTTGGACCTGAATGAGGTTCTATGCCCTCCAAGAGAAGARAAGCTAATCACCCTCATGAGGAGTAAAAGCTGTAATAACATTTCCTGCTGACTGGTCAATGTTGATGTGGCAATGTGATACCTCCATCAAAAACAAGTAGAAGTGTAAAACCAACTATCARTGGCACTATGATCATGAAAACACTCAAACTACTCATATAYAGGGACATAATCAGTTAGTATTGGAATAGTTCATCTTTACTTGACAAGATCCGTTACTCACAGTGGGAACATAAATGAAAGACTAGAACGTTTCTTTTTTTAAAGAACAGACCAGATTGTTATTGATAATAATTATTTATTTCTATTATTTCTATGAWTAGATTTTAATTCAAACAATTATTACCACTTAACATAGTATCTACTTTTGTTATTATTTTACTGTATTTGTTATTTTATTACACAAGTCAGTACACAAGAACACCAAAACTAAAATGCAAAAAAAAACAATTTGAATTATAGTTATCTGAGATCTTTTCTTCATATTATTTTAAAATAAGTAATTAAGAAAATATTAATTAATGACAGATATATGATATCATGATATGAAAAATTGCTTCTTTAAAATGATTACCATTATAACATATAAATCAGGATGATGTTGGATGATTGGTCATGCTGTGGTATAATCATAGCCTAACAGATGTCTCAAGAATATAATCTTAATAACAATCTTGCAAGAAGTTATAAACATACAAAACATACAAATGGATGGTGAATTGGGTGTGGTATTATAATATGCTGAAACAAATCTATCAATATTATACATAATAAAAAAACTACAAAGCTACCAAGAGAATATTATGTATGGATGTATGTATGTGCAAACACTTTTAGGAAAACACTATCTATAGGAGTACTAGAAAATTTTTAATATACAAATAATATCTAAATACTAGATTTAATCCAGTAATTAAAACAATTTTGCAAAAACAGTTTGGCATTGAAATATTTACAGAAKTTCATACTTGTATTGCCATAAAGACTTGGGAAAYTGGAAATACCACAATGAAAAAGGTCCAAATCTGTTCCAGGTACAAATTGCCTACAAATAAGTTTCAGTTTCACCTTCAAACAAAAAAACTACAAAGTAGTGTGAGTACTGACACCATAATGGTTGGTCATTGCCCATTGTTTTTAAATGCTTTATGCACATGTTACAAAATAGACATTAAAAACTGGAGACAATGATGTCTACATGTAAGCCAGACATAAAGATTGAAGAGTCCACAAATCATTGGAGAAACTATGAAATAATTTCAGAGAGAACAATAAACAGGATTTTAATATTCAATACTAAACCATGGATGGGAATATAGATACTGTATAGTGATAAGATTGGGTTTCATTTTTTTTCCTAATTGAATTTRAAGAAAAATCTAACACCATGCTAGCAAAGCTTAATTGATTAAATATGACAACTTTAAGCCTTTATAAACTAAATTAAGATTCTTAATAGTGAGTTTTTTTTGAATGGAGAATTAATTAAATTCACAGAAGAAAGTATCTTAGTTTTCTGCAGTGCTTCAGGCACATTGTAATAGGAATGATAGGCTGAACACATGCCAGACACTCTGGTTGAGGAAATTGTTTTTTGTTGCGAATAAGTCTGCCTCTTAAATTCCTGTTTACACAAAGATCAATTGATAACAACTGATATTGCATCTTTAATGTGATGGCTTTATGAAGAAACGTTTCCAATGAAATATATCAGTGAAAAATGAATCTGTTCAAGTCACATGGCAAAGTTAACCATAATTATGTTTTTCATTACAAAACTCTTTAGTTTAAAATGTTGATGATATTAGTCATGCTTGACAATGTCTATCGCAATAAAATTACAAACAYAACATAATACCATGTATATACATGTCTCGTGTAATATAGCAAATGCTYATTGGTCAATTCTTCTTTGTTGATATTTCATTGGTTCAGGTAGTGCCTAGCTCATATCAGCTGTTACAAGCAACTCATTTATTCTTTAGCAAGSCCAGTCTAGGGGACAAATAGCGTGCTGTTAAGGTCTCAACAGACGCTGTTTGCACCATAACGTGACCAATTCATTCCTAAGGTGTGTAGAATGAGCTTAATACACCTCCTTCATTAGAACAATGTTCCCAATATTCGTCAACGTTTTGAAAWATCCCGACTAAGCTAAAGAACATAGTAGGAATAACAGACAAAGGACAGTGGCATCTGTATTTTTAAAGTCAGATAGACTAAACCAGTGAAGAGAATTTAATTAATTGAATTCAGTATGCAATTTAGGGATTTAGTGGTTGTGGTAGTAATAACACAAAAGATAGTCTAAAGCAAATACTTCTGTGCAGAAGAGAAAATTAATAAAACATCTTAAAAGATATCTAAACAGTGTCTGGATTCGCATATTTCGGAGTCAAATTTGTCTGTGAAAGATCCGTCAGTGCAAGAGSAGAGTAAAAGTCCTACTAGGGCGTAGTTGACCACATTCAACATCATTTTTCCTCTGACTGACGCTTTGAGAATCTCCCGCTTGCCATTCATCTAAGGCTATCGCCTATTCTTTGCGTATAACAAACATAGATGGCGTTGTGGTAAACTTCAAAGAGACGTAAATCAAAGCTCACTTTAGACAAGTATACTTTTTGTGGTTGACTGAATGATCGCTCAAGCAATTATTTTTTTACGCATGGCTTAGATGCGCAATATTATCAAATGCTTCAACAAATTTGTACCAAAAACTACTGACATAACGGAAAACTACTTTTCGCGACTCAAGATGATAACAAACAGAGAAGTTCAACACAGTACTGACAATACAAAAACACTCGAGAAAATGCACCTTATGAACAATCGACTTACTTTGAACTGTTAGTGATGCTTTTCGACTTTTCTTTCTTATTTTAGATCCATCTGTTAATCTTGCTACACAAACATATTCTCCATCGTCGTTAGGTTCAGTTTTTGTAAACTCTAAAGTTCCATCTTTTTTTATAGATATTCTGGCATCGCCATACAATTTCGCTCCATTAAATTGCCAAGCATACTTAAAACTCTTTGAAGAAGTTGCTGTACAGTTTAAAGATACAGGATTTCCAGCGATTACTTTAGTATTTTGAGGTTCCTCTACAAAGGTAATTTGGGCATTGGATTCCTTTAGAGAGCCTGCAAGAAATAGATTTAATGCAATCAGCAGGTAGTAGGGATCGGAGAACATCCATCAAAGCCTACATTCCAGAAAAAATACTATATACAAAACAAGTTAAAATACTTGAATTTATGTACTAAATAAGTTAAGAGTCAAAAGCTGACTAACTGATAGTTATCTGAGTAAAGTAAGAATAAATTTGGCCTTGTAAGAAATTCTCAAAGGGCAGATTTCTTCGAGCAAATARAGAAGTCCGATTCTGTTTTGTTTGCTCGATTTGACAACAACATGCTGAAGCTATCTTGACAATACTGAACTTTTCCATAAATAGCTCTGCTATTGAACTCATTCAACAGTCGCTATGATCACAACGAAGTCACTGGTAAAGAAATCGGGTGCTGATAGTGCCTAAGTTTTCAAAAGAAGAGAGTTCACTGGCAAACTTGCCAGATTCGATCGGGCAAGACGCTTTGTGCTTACCTAACAGAAAAGCAACAGCAAAGAGAACATRAACACGGTGAAAAAATCTTCCTTTTAGATCCACAAACTCCATATCTGATAGAACATCAAAGAAGCAAGAAATCGCAACCCGATTTGCGAAGAAACAGTCTCGCTAATAATGTAGTAAAAAYCTCAAGAAAGGTCTGTCTTCCAAACGCTTTGCCGTCTAGATCCTAGTCACGTGGCTGTCATTCTTTATTAGCCATAAGCCGCTTCCGGTATAGGATTGACCAATCACATCCCAGTACTTGTGTCAATCAAAGGAGTGTGTATTGTGCCAAAGAAAAGGCTCTTCTCTTTCATCTCCAGCGATCATGGAGCATATTAAAACATTACTAAAACGTCTACAGTATAAAGAAATGAAGATATTGATCTTGCCGTGAATAGACAGGATATAGCGTGGTCTCGGGCGTCAAATGCTTTTATTTTAATAGTGTGATATATTTAACACCTTTCAGAAGTCTTTCGGCCGGCGCTAAGAGCCTTACAGCCCCTCTCCYTTTTCGTACCATGCAAATTAGCGCAGCTCAATAGACGCAATATATTCAATGTTTCTGAAAAGCAGTAGCTTGGATTTACTTCGTCAAAAGCGCCGAACACGATTTCATGTTGATAATTGTTAGGATTCCAATAACATTTTTGGGGAGAGCGGAACCGACTCAGTTGACGTTGATTTCCTGCGGCTCTCTGTTCTGCTACGAGTTTTTCTTGGTCGAGACACCCGTAGTCATGTGGCTATTTCAAATGCGATATCAACAATTTGTCATAGACGCTCCGCTATGTAAACAAAATCACGAAAGAAAAAAGGAAGAGACCATTCTAACCAATCGAATGGATATTTCAAGGACCCAATTTTACTTGAAAAGTGTTTCAAATTTCGTGGAAATTACAAAGAACACCGCAAAAAGGAGAACTCATTGAAATTTTCGTTAGCATTCACTTTTCATSAATTTTGATAATGAATTTGATATTAGTATGGACTCATGCACTTCATAACCAACTCATTCTATTGACTTTAGTTTGTTTTTTGAGTATATTTTATTATATTTTAATTTTCACCTCTCGCGGCCTGACTAAAATCTCTAGGCAAACGTGAAACATCTTATGCTTTGGAMTCCCTGCCAATTTTAGAGACTGTCCAGAAAGCCTGTGTGAGGGTTTTGAGCTAGTCTGTGTATGTCACGAACACCTCTATGGGCTTCCTACCGACCAGCATGGCCTGCAATAAAGGTCGTTCAACTGAAGTTTTCAATTCAATTTCACTAGTGTCAATTGACAATAGCATTAGGGGATTAGCTGGCTTCTCTGTTTTAGAGTGGTTGAAAGCGAGCCCCCAAGCTATAGTGTCCATAATTTGCCTTGAAATATTTTATGTATTAGCCAAACATGAAATTCCAAACTATCTTAGTATCAAATTGCCGGCTTTTAGGACAAACGATAAGGTTAATATCAACAACGCCTTCTAAGTTATTAACGTGGAMGAAATCAAAATTGACAATAAAACTGTGAGTCACACTAGTGGGCGCTCAAGCTCAGATTAATTTYACCGGAAGTGGGTTTTCATTACAGACCGGAAGTAGGTCTCATTAATTCATTCATTTGATTACTTCGTCAAACAAAATGGCGGCAGCCGTGAAAGGCTTGATTTCGATATGTATTGTCGTTATCATTCTCGTTAGTTCGTGGTTAATAGCTGTCTTGATTAATTATTATGGAGGTCAAGGCAAAGAGTTGAAATTCCGAAAGTCTGCTGAGGGGGATCCTTTTCCTGGGGAGAAATTAGAAAATATCTTTTGGTTTCTCCAGGTGAGACWTGCCAAGAGTAACGTAAGCTTCTCCTGTATGCTGTATATAGCTCTGCTTTGTCGATATTGCGARKTTCAGTCGTTRYAACCTTATCAACTTAAAATTTCAACACCAGATCAAAGGAAATTATTGTATATTTGCACTCGGCACCATTTGCACTCACCAACCTTCCCTATATTAACTCATTAATTATGTAACCTTATAAAAAGGAGCAGAAATATGTTGGGGTAATTAGCAAATCCAGCTAGTGAGTGCAAGGTGTGCACATCCAATACTAGGATATGGATAACTCCCTGAAGAAAARCTGGTCTGCCCAAATGTAAGACCTTAGTAGAACAAGTTTGCGTTACTTTTCTGGGTTACCTGTGGTTTTGGATGCGCTGTATTAAAGGGTTAAATTATAAAGTACACCAGCAGAATTGACACTTTATTGTGTACTSTGAAAACATATCATATATTACTGGTCTTTTTGCAATGCTCTGTAATCAATAGTGATATTATTGAACATGTGCAAAATGGACTCCTGGAGTGTCTCCTAAGTTTAATCAGTCTTTCATATAATGAAATTTGACTTTTAATTATAGATATAAGGTTTTAGGGTATCAACAAAAAACACATTGATGTTTGACTTTTTTATTGTTAAAATTTCTAGATTTCAGATTTGCATATCAGTAAGTTCTACGAACCAAGTCGTGTGAAAGATTTACAGTATTTCTGTGAGGATGTCGTAGATACTATCAGCCCAGCTGTTGTCATGGTCACAGGTAAGGAGCACGAAATTCTAGAACATAATGTAACTATATAACATACCTAGCATTCTAATACCCAGACCCTCTTCGCTTACCATTGGAGGTTCTGGGACACCCATCTTGTTTYAAAAAAATGTTTGCTGTTTGAATTTGTCATTCGTGAGGCGGAATGTATACACACAAATATTCTAAACCGATGATTGACAGGTCAGAAAAATGTATRATATAAGTCTCATTCATTAATTTGTTTAGATATTATTCCTTCTCAACCAATAATTTTTTTTTCTCAATCAATTTTTATTGCCATCATTATCACTAACATTTTTGATTGACAGGAGATCTTACAGATGCTAAGAACAGTGATAAACTTGGCTCACAACAGTATGAAGAAGAATGGAAAGCATATTACTCTGTTATCAAGAAAACTGGTGTAGAATACAAAACCAAGTGGCTTGATWTAAGAGGCAATCATGGTAAATGTATTTACAATGTCAACACAACTAYATCCCAGGGTCTTCACATATTATAGCAAACTTCAAACCTACATACCTATTCATGTTGCTTGGGATCTAAATTTCAAACTGATTTCAAACATTTTGCATGAATAAACAGAAAGAAAGTAGATTTTACCGTTATCAAACAAAATGAGAATATCTTGGTGTCAATGTCAATTGTATCAACAATAACATTGACCTTGTGTTCAGGTTTTCATTTTGTCAAAATGACACCAAAAAACGCTGCATTTATTTGTTTTATTGCTAATGTTTTAAAAATAATTTTCAGATGCATTTAATGTTCAATCAATACATAGTAAGAAGAATTACTTCAGGTAARCTTGTTGCTTTGTATCGTGTTTGTACACAATAAATTGCAAGGATTTTTTATGTATATTAAAATTTGATGATTTGAATTGTCACTATCAGAGCATAAAAAAATAAACTAAATATATATAAAASATAATAAAASAAYRAAAGAAAGCAAGAAAGAGGTAGAAAAGAAAAAACAGATAACAGAATATGAATAAAATAAATGAACTAAAATATGAAGGAGCAATGACATTTAAAAAGGAACAACCAACAGTGTTCTGTCTTTGATTTAAATAAAAGCAGCTATCAAAGCCAGACAATTGCACAAGATAGAAAATCTCATTGTTTGATTGTACTCTTTCAAATCAGATATTTTTCATCAAGTGGTCAGGACAGTTCAAGAGGTTCATTATCATATCAGTATATCTACAAAACCGRCTATGGAGAATATGCTTTCAATGCCATTGATACATGTCCTGATCCGGGTCCAAAAAGACCTTTCAACTTCTTTGGACACATTGCAAAGGTATACAGAATCGTGAATATTTCTAATGACCTGTGGGTTGTGTGTGTGTTAGGGCAGTAGGCAAGGGGGCTTGGGTTGCAGTGGGTTGGGTGGAAGAGGGGGGGGGGGGGGGAAATAAGCATCGATGCGTTTCCAATATTCAAAGTGCGCTTTCTTGCCATTGAATAAATCAGTTGCCATATATGTCTTCAAATGTCATCACTTGAGCAGCGCATGGGAGGCAACTGACAACGCAAATTTCTTTTTCTTTGACTGTGTTATAGGAACGTGTTGAGGAAATGAAACAACTTGCAGAGAAAAGCAAGAAGTACAACATGACAATGTGGTTCAGCCACTACCCATTCTCGGTGCTAACGTCTCCTTCGTTACGGAGAGATTTGCTSAGGTAAAAAACAATGATTTTAAAGGTTTGATAATCTAGTACCAATAGAAACTGAATTACACAAATAAAGAAAATGGAACATACCATTAGCGGGCATGATACTAATTTACTACAAAAAAATGCAACAACAGCAGCGCAGGAGCAGCAGTTATAACAATATCAAGCCAATCAATCAGCCATTCAGTCAATCTATCAAACGATCGTCTGTCTATAACTAAAAGAGGCTATAGCAACATTAATGCTCAAACAAAAGACGGGCGAAAAATAATAAACTGTACCATTTTAGCGTAGAGCGAAAACCAAAAGAACAGCTAGAGGAATACGAAAAAAAGGAGCAAATCAATTACAAATCAGCTTGCAAAGCAGCTAAAGACATTGATTTTTTTGTTTGCGTATGTTTGGGCTTAGTTATTTATATGTCAATATTTAAAAGACACTAGCGGTTTATTGCTCAAACCCTAAATATTTACAACTGTCTGTCAGCAGATATGGTTCTGTTTATTTTTGTGGTCATCTCCATACCTTGGGTGAAGTRGTACCCACCATGCATGCTGTTCATCAAGATGGTCATCTAGAGTTGGAACTCGGTGATTGGCTGTGGCATAGAAAGT